CCGTGGGGCCGATCAAGACAGCTCTATATATATATATATATATTGTAATTATACCTTCATACTTAAAACAATGTAATTAGATTACTATTTAATATCACATGATATAATTCTTATCATTAATATAATTGAATAATTCTCAAAATTCTTAATCCCTAATCACTAAAATTTGTCTAATCTCCTTGTACTTATGAACATAATTTCCAAAATCGTTTTCAAACTCTGAAATTGGTTGTCCAAATATAAAGATATAAAATTATTCTGGCAAATCTAACATACTGTAAACAAATGATGTTTTAAACCCTATATTAAAAATTACACTATTTTTTAATTAAGGGATCTAATTAAAAATTCTCAAAAAAAATTAAGAATCAAATGATGTTTTAAACCCTATATATGTATAAAATCAAGTTTTTATCATGTAATTTTAAGGTCTATTTTAAAATATAAGAATTAATTTGATGTTCTCATATCGACTTGATATTTCCTTGATATTCATAAATTAAAAAGAATATAAGTAAAATAATTTTTTTAAGTTATCACTAGAATAAAAATGACACTCTACAATTAAAATATATAATATATGTGAGAATATTAAGAATTGGAAAAATCATTTACTACAAGAAAATTGACATATAATGACACAATATGTGTCACTAAAAATTATTTTTACTTACACAATAAATATAATATATGTTGGTATATTATTAAAAAATGTGGATATAAGCTATACTGATACATAAAATATGTTGTTAAATCTCATTCAAAATCAATACAAAAGTTATATATAACTATATACCAAATAGATATTGTTCCGACCACGAGGTGCACTAGGGTTTTTTCCTAGGTCAGACCTCAAAGTCAGAGCATTCAAGAGTGTAATCTGCCTTCTCAACTCTAGGATTTTTTCTTTTATAGCTTCTTGTTTACGGGCTTTATGGGCCCCGAGAATGTAGGGATTTCCTTAACCGTTTTGATCTGGCTAATATTTGGTGAGGGACAGTGGGACCTTGCCCTTGCTATCGGGTAGTCCCTGTATGCAAGAGTTGTGTCGGCCCCCGACCGACCATACCCGTACTGAGGGTACAGTCGGGTATTGGCCGAGTTGGTTCTTGTAAGCAGAAGGAATAGGAAATATACCGACCAGGTTAAGTAGAGAAACCAAGTCGAATAATAACCGAACCACTCTTAGAGGGGTGATCGGCGAGAGCTACAGTCGGCCTAGCATATCGGCGAGAGCTACAGTTGGCCTGGCATATCGACGAGAGCTACAGTCGGCCTGGCATATCGGCGAGAGCTACAGTCGGCCTGACATATCGGTGAGAGCTACAGTCGACCTGACATACGTAGTAGGCAGGTCGGAATCCGATTGCATATTTCTTCTGACTGATAAAAATTCCTTTCTGGTCTTGTTTGACTTCCAAGCTAAGAAAGAAAGCCATTTTTCCACAATCAGTCATCTAAAAAACTTTCATCATATCTTGCTTGAACTCCTCAACAAATGCAATACTGCTTCCTATCACTAAAATGTCATCCACATACAAAGAAACAATTAAAATTTCAGAATTCAAGCATTTCAAAAAGAGAGTTAACTCACTGAGACTTTTTGTGAAGCCAATACTCAGCAAGTACTCATCAATTCTGCTATATCAGGCCTTTGGAGCTTGCTTCAAACCATACAAGAACTTATTTAGCAAATAAACCTTGTCTTCTTGTCTTTTAACCACAAAGCCTTCAGGTTGCTCAACATATATCTCCTCTTCTAAATAACCATTTAGAAAAGCAGATTTTACATATAGTTGAAACACATTCCAACCATTTTGTGCTACAAAAGCTAGAACCAATCTGATGGTATCAAGTCGGGCAACAGGAGCAAATGTTTCAGAGAAATCAACTCCATATTTTTTTGCATATCCCTTCACTACAAGCCTGGCCTTGTGCTTATTAATGGAACCATCTGCATTGAGTTTGGTTCTAAACACCCATTTAACACCAATAACATTTTGATGTTGAGGTCTAGAAACCAATTCCCAAGTTTGATTCTTTTCAATCATGCAAAACTCCTCCTGCATTGCAACAATCCACTTTGGATCCTTTTCTGCTTCAAAAAATCTGTAGGTTCTAAAATAGCAGCATTACATCTTTCATAAATACCAAAAAGTAATTTGGTTCCTCTAACTGGTGGATCTGCTTCGGCTTGGCCGTTGGTTTGGGGGTGTTCCACCGAGGTCGGGAGATGCTTGATACCGAGCTCTCGGAGGAAATTCTCGAATCCCTGCGCGATAAACTGTCGGCCGTTATCGGTTACGAGAGTGTGAGGGATTCCAAACCTGCAAATGATGTTCTTCCATGTGAATTTTTGCACCTTCTCAGTGGTAATTTTGGCGAGTGGGCATGCTTCAATCCACTTGGTGAAATAATTGATTGCCACCAGGAGGAATTTCAGTTGATCTTTCGCAGAGGGGAATTGTCCATTCCCCACTGGGAGAAAGGCCATGCCGACATCATGTGGTGGAGAGCTTCGGGTGGTTGCCGGTGTGTGTCGCCGAATTGCTGGCACTCTTTACATTTTTGAATGTAGTTTTGGCAGTCCGACTTCAGAGTGGGCCAGTAGTACCCAGCTCGAAGTACCCTGGTCGCCATTGAGCGCGCCCCGGAGTGCATGCCGCATATCCCCTGGTGAATTTCCCTGATGACATAGGCTGCTTGAGATGCAGTCAAGCATTTGAGCAGTGGAGAGGAAACTCCACGTTTGAATAACTCATCTCCGATGATGATGAACTTGGCCGATCTCATCCTTATCTTCCGAGCTTCGTCTTTGTCCTCAACCAGGGTTCCTTCTTTCAAGTAGCTCTAGATGCCTGCCATCCATCCCAGGTCTTCATTGTCACTGACGTTGACGACTTTGTCATCTAAGCTGGGTGAGTGCAAGGTTTCTTGAATAATGGTTCGGTGCTGTCCAGGCCTTTTGGTGCTGGCGAGCTTTGATAGGAGGTCAGCTCGGGCGTTTTGTTCTCGCGGCACATGCTTTATGGTGAATTCGTCGAAGGACGAGATCTGGTGGGACGCAGTGTGAAAATACCGCTGCAGTAGAGTGTCTTTTGCTTGGTACGTTTCGCTGAGCTGCTCCACCATGAGTTTTGAGTCGCTGTTGCAACTTACCTTTTGGGCTCCGAGGTCGCGGGCTAGCCTTAATCCCGTGAGAAGTGCCTCGTATCTTGATGTGACTCAGGGCAAAAGCTCTCACCTCCGACATCATTTGACAACTCGTTTTCTCTAGCGCGATGTCGAAAGCTCCAGACCTTAAGCCCTTTTGGAACGCGATGACTGCCATCCTTTCATCCAAGGACGCTATCCTCATGGTGACCTCATTGAACCTTTGCAGAAAGTCCTTCAACGACTCCTCCCGCTGTTGTTTGAGATCGAACAAGTCCGCCGTGATCGGTGGTTTCTTCTTGTTAGCGGCGAACTATGTCATGAAGAGCCGACTAAAGACATCAAAGTCGGTGATTGATCGGTCAGGGAGACCACTAAACCAATCCAGTGCTGCTTTTTTGAGTGTACCCATGAATCGTTTGCAGCGGACTTCCATACTTCCTCCACAAATCAACATTTGAGCGCGGAAATTCATCAAGTGCTGACTGGGATCCGGAGTTCCATCAAAAGGTTCGACTTGGGGAATCCGATGATCCCTCGGGATGGTCTCGGCCTCTATGGCCTCCGAAAAAGGTCGAAAATCCCTGGGGACTTCCATCATGACATCTTCCTCCACCGTCCTGGCGTTGGCCGTTATCATAGCTTGCATCTCGTCCGCCCGCCTCCTAATCTCCTCGTTTTCTCGTTGAATAGCCTCCTCTCTCTCCCTGGATCGCGCATTCTCCTCCCTCAATCCGTTGATCAATGCCATCATCTCCTCCATGGTAGGGTGTTGTGAGTCGTTGTTGGATGTGCCGCCTCTCGCCATGGTAAAGTGCGGGTTCTCCTGTGTTACTTGGGGCGTAGGAAAAGTTTCACCGTAGCCCCACGGTGGGCGCCAAAATGTTCCGGCCACGAGGTGCACTAGGGTTTTTTCCTAGGTCAGACCTCAAAGCCAGAGCATTCAAGAGTGTAATCTGCCTTCTCAACTCTAGGATTTTTTCTTTTATAGTTTCTTGTTTACGGGCTTTATGAGCCCCGAGAATGTAGGGATTTCCTTAACCGTTTTGATCTGGCTAATATTTGGTGAGGGACAGTGGGACCTTGCCCTTGCTATCGGGTAGTCCCTGTATGCGAGAGTTGTGTCGGCCCCCGACCGACCATACCCGTACTGAGGGTACAGTCGGGTATTGGCCGAGTTAGTTCTTGTAAGCGGAAGGAATCGGAAATATACCGACCAAGTTAAGTAGAGAAACCAAGTCGAATAATAACCGAACCACTCTTAGAGGGGTGATCGGCGAGAGCTACAGTCGGCCTGACATATCGGCGAGAGCTACAGTCGGCCTGACATATCGACGAGAGCTATAGTCGGCCTGGCGTATCAGCGAGAGCTACAGTCGGCCTGACATATCGGTGAGAGCTACAGTCGGCCTGACATACGTAGTAGGCAGGTCGGAATCCGACCTGGACCGTACAGATATATACTTACATTTATATGTTACTATATATAATATTTATTATTGTGATTAGACACTTTTTAGTAATAGAAGTTAAAATAATATGTAAATGATGTTGGCCGGTTCAAACCATAGATAAGACGAATATATAGAAATTGAAAAGAAATAATCTCAACTATAAACTATTCAACTCCTTTTAACATCATTAAATATTATTTGATGGACGGTGTGTGTCAAACCAAAAATTATATAGTATTTGAATAATGTTTGTTTTATTTTTGTTTTTGGTTCAATGAATAATATTTGATTGACATCGCTTATGTTTATGATTTTTTATGTCACTAAAAATGTCAAATCACTTATAAAGAAGGGTACGTACAGTGTTGAAAAACCCATGAGGTCTGAGGTTATAAATAGGAGACGCTGGTGCTGCGTAATGCACGAACAACTCTCTCAGAAAAAAAATCTTAATTAAGCATTTGTGCACTTTATAGGGTATAGTTTCTCACCCTAATACTACATGTTATTCTAGTTTCCCTTTTTTCTTTCCCTTCTAAAACTACCTACTTATCAGTGTCCCAGCACTGGAAATGCAAGAGATACTTCATGCTTATATATATAATTAGTTGTTATATATATATGTATGAATATGAATATGATAAGGCATGCATGCTCATGCAAATCCATTAAATTATGAAGTGGTTGTTCCTTGTAATTAGTTACTGTTTTGGAATTTGCAGATCACAAGAAATATAACTATGGCAAAGCAATCATCTGAGTTGGCCATTGAAGACCTCAAGAAGCTTCTCAGGTTAATTAATTACTTCTAAACTTCAATAATCACTTTCCCTTACACTGTTGCCTTTACCTGTAAACTAATATAATGATGCATAAACTATAGGTAAATGCTAACATGAAAACTAAGGTAACTCTTGGTTAGGTAATTTATTTTTCTATCCTGTCGTGCTATCCCTTAGGCCGGTAGGCTAGAGGGTAATCTCATTTGTCCGGTCACTCAATTTTTTTATATATTAACGGCTACATATATAGATCATTCTCACAGTGTATGATTATTAAGAGAGATTAGTTAGAAAATGATATTAGAATTTTTTTATTTAATTATATTTTTATTTGTTTATTTTTAGGGTTCTTTATTTTTAAAATTAAGCAACTTTAGTCTTTTTCTTAATTTTATCTTATCTAAGACCTTCAAATTTTCATTTTTAACCAATATTTTGGACTTTAGGATGAATTTTAGATATGAAATGTACTTTAAGAGGTTAAAAAATAAAAATTAGTAAAATTTGAAGAAATTAATTTGTAACATGTGAAATAAAGGTTTGTAGAGGAGAAAAATGAATTTTTATTTAACAAATTTAATGTTTTACGTAATGAGTTTTGACCTTTTAGTAGAATATTCAATTAAATTTAGAAGAATTTTGAATGCAAAATGAAAAACAAGAGTTTAGACAAAATAAAATCAATAATGACTAAAAAGAATGGTGACTTCGCTTAGGATATTCTCCCTTCTTAATTCAGTGAAACATCATTTCAATGACAAAAGTGTCACAACCCAATAAATAATAAAGTGGATAATATTTCAAACATAGTGATCCTAACAATATTAATAAACTTATGATCAAACATTGACTCTAAAAGAAGGGATATAGGTCACTTTTAGCCCTTAATCTGAACTCATAATTTATAAACATCATATTTCTTTAACTCACCAACGTGTCTTTTCAAGGACAAAGTAACACTAAAATAGATAATATCTTGAACTCATTGACCTTAACAATGTCAAGAGATTTATGGTCATAACAATTTTAAAATAAAAATCTCTATTAGGTTTATAAAAAAACTTACAAAATTAAAATTACTCATAATTTAAATTAAAAAATGACTAAAAGTAACAAACTTAAAATATAATTAAAAATATATTCATTATATATAAATTTAAAAATAATTCAATTATAAATTTTGAATTTTAAAAAGAAAATTAAAAAAAAACTTCTGGTAAATTAAAATTAACTAAGTTCTTTAAAAAAAAAAAAAAAAAGCTTTTAGATAAGTTAGATTTAATGCATATTAATAGTAATACTATAACTACACTTGTTACAGAGAGAAGGAGGAACTTGATGGTGTGGCAGCTGCAAAAGTTGAAGAGCTTATAGCTGAGTTGCAGGGACGTTATCTGCGTCCATTTGACCATGCTGTGCAAAGAATTATTGACGGATTTACTTACTTCAAGATCAACAATTTCGAGTAAACTTGCAAATTAACTCTTTCATTATATACTCTCTAAATATATATAGTAATTTCTCTCTTTGACCATGCCATTTCAATTACCATATACTATACAATTTAAATTCATCCATGCATGGTTTTGGTTGCTTCTCTTTCTTACATCTGCAGCCAAAACCCGGATCTGTATGCCCAACTTGCTAATGGTCAAAGCCCCGAGGTAATTGATTTCTTAAATCTTAATTATAGTTCTATTACGTTTTTCACCACTTAATTTTTTGTGATATGTTTTCAATTATTTGAATATTATGTGTAGTATCTGGTGTTTGCTTGCTCTGACTCTCGAGTGAGTCCCTCTACTATCCTTAACTTCCAACCTGGAGAAGCTTTCATGGTCCGCAACATTGCTAACATGGTCCCTCCATTTAATCAGGTTCCTCTCCTTCACCATTATCCACACCAATCACTCACTATTTACGATATATACATTTCCATAAGTTTAAATTACATTATTCAAATTCTTTCTATTTCTATTCATCATATATATAAGTACTGCTCATAAATTTCTCACTGTCCTACTTACAGCTTAGGTACAGTGGAGTTGGTGCAGCCATTGAGTATGCTATCACAGATCTTAAGGTGATGATTAGTTTTAGGTTTAGAGCCACTTTGTATAAAAGTTATAAGTATTTTTAAGAGTTTTTTTTACTTATATTTAAATGTACTCTTAATTACTTATTTACTTTATGTAGTTTCAAAAACTTTACTTTATAATCTCTACAGTAAAAATATTTTACTTTAATTATTATATATATTGTTTTTATTTCTTTTTAATTCTTATGATTAAAAATATTCTACTTTAATTTCTATACATGGCATTTTTGTTTGTTTTAATTTCTATAGATTCTAAACTTTATTTTTTAGTTCTAATAGCAATAAACAACATGAACTAAAAAGAAATAAAAAATAGTATGTATAAATAATTAAATGAAACATTCTTCACTATAAAAAAACTAAAAGATAAAATTCATAAAACTATATAAAAAAAAAAGTAATCAATCCTTAGTTTTATATTTCGGAAATAAGTTCTTGACCAAATGTTAAAATAATTAAATGTCATAGTCAAAATTATCGAAGGTGTCCTGTACTCATTGCTCCCTTACTGTTTATAAACTCGTCAAAGTTTTCACAACCTTTATTTATTTTTCTTTCATTGTGATTTTTAATAGATAGAGGAATATTCTGTGAGAGGTGCATTAGAGTAATCGAATATTTTTCACAGGTGCCAAACATCTTGGTCATTGGACATAGTCGCTGTGGCGGAATTAAAAGGCTTATGAGTCATCCAGAGGATGGTTCTGCTCCTTTGTAAGAATTCTTAATGTCTATATAACAATATATAGCTAGCTACTAGCATCACTATTTTAGTTCCTTGTTTGGAAAAAAAGAGTTAAAACTTAAAATAAACACAATATGAATAGGATGAAACAAATCTCCAATTAGCCATGTTTAACCCTTTTTATGGTTCAATTGAATTTTACAGTGACTTCATAGATGATTGGGTGAAAATTGGTTTGCCTGCCAAACTCAAGGTTCTGAAAGAATATAATGGCTACGATTTCAAAGAACAATGCAAATTCTGTGAAAAGGTTTCTGTTATATATTTTAACTAATTTCCATGCAGCTACCATGATTTAAATATTAGTTAATGAGTAATGATCATTTTAGACTGTTCAATAATTAATTATTTTATAATAATGCTAATTAAGCATGGTGGTTTGTATGTGCAGGAGTCAGTGAATAACTCCTTAGTGAACTTGAAGACATATCCATATGTTGAAACAGGAATAAGAAACAAGAGCATAGCACTGTTGGGGGGTTACTATGATTTTGTGAAGGGAGAATTCAAAGTTTGGAAGTATGAGACTGACTTCACTGAACCCATTACCATCCCTCCTTTTACCCATTAGTGATGGTTGACTCAAACTTGGCACCACTACCAGCTTATTAAGTTCTTACTACAAGTTGTGTTGCATGTACTATGTGTGCTTTTCTATCCTAAATAAATTGCATCTACTTTTGAGATTTCAAAAATTATGTATTTTAAGAATTATTATTACTAGATTTCACGGTATTTAGGTACTGCTTAATTTAAATGCCATATATGCGATTTGGCAAGTGATTTGGTATGCTTCTAATGGCCTCAATACATGCTTTCAACAGAAGATAAAATTTAAACATCCTCAGAAGCCACATTTCTTGTAAACTATATACAAAATACAAAATTATCCCATGGGAAGATGATAAGAGTTTTGACTTTCAATCTTTCTAATTCAAAAACCATCAAATTAATTATTACTTTCACCGTCTTTCAATAGATTTTAGATAATACTTACTTATTTAGTATACGCAATCTAAGAAAGAAATTTGCAACATCTAAAAAATATGACTCATTACAACTTAGATTATCGTAACTTTATTTCATTATATTATAAACTTTTGTAAAGGTTATTTATTCAAACTTTTATGGCTCATTTTTCACACTTCCCTTTTCCTTCTACGAAAAAGATGAGCCAAAACTTTAAGAACTATTGAAATGTCTTTTGCATGATAGACTTCCTTTTTTGATAGCTTATTGTACTCCCTTTGATCATCACATTGGCTAAAGGCATTGAAATTGTAAAGTTCAAGTGCTATATTGGGACTAAATTCTATAAGTTAGCATATTTTATGAGCTTTCTCAGCAATAGGTACATAATTGTCTTTAATTATAGTAATTATTCTATTATCTGATCCAAAATTATCAAGAATCTCCAATAACTTTTTTCAAATCATCTAAAATCTACGTCATCAAAAACAATAAGAACCTTCACACAATGAATTCATATGTCAACATCATTAGGCAATAATAAATTAGTGTCAATTTTCACAATATTTGCTTGATTGTTATCTCTCATTGGCTAAATAGTTTGTTAAATACTTCTCCTGCAAGATCCCAATTAAGCCGGATTGCTTTTGGCCCTTTATGTATCAATGATTCTACGTTTGCAATTATATTTTGTAAATTCCAACTAATCCTTTTGAGTTAACAAGGAGTTTACCCAACTTCATCCGCACAAGACAATGTCATTAATATTGGAGGGGGATGGGTCAACGTGTGTCATGAAAAATTATTTTCCTTCTTTAGCTGAGACTGTTAAATCCTATAAAATAAATAAAAGGGCTTGTTAAATGTATCTAGAAATTGTTTCAAAAAAATATCATTTAGAAATTTAAATATGTACAAATGTATTACAAAATTGTAATTTAACCACAAAATTCGATTGTTGGTATCATCAGGCTTCAGAATTCTACCATACTGGTGTTGGCTAAAACTATATATACGAAAGTAACAGCTAATAAGCATATATTCTTCTGAAAACAATTTAAAGAATATAGGTGAAAAAGCAACCAGGTGGTGATAATTTGCATATATGATATAACTATGTAACTTACCGAAATTTTGATGACTCAACTCCAGATAAATTAGCATATTTATTCAAAGCATGTCTCTAAATTTGCACCTTGGACTTATATTTTCTTCCATGCTCAACAAATGCAATTTTGTAACTCCCAAATTGATGTCGTACATCACAGGGATCTACATGCTTGAAAACAGGGATTACAATCTGTCCATATTTCTCTCTACATTCAAGTATTATCACAAGTTCTTCTAAACACCAAAGCGAAGAAGCATAGTCTTGCGAGAATATGATCAACGAAATGAATGATCCTTGAATTGCTCCAACCAGTGATGGCCATATTTCATCTCCCCTCTTAAGTTTTACATCTACAAAGACATTTATTTGCCTCCGTTGAAAAGTGTCAATCAAATGGCTGAGAAGCCTGCGACGGATGTCCTCGCCCCTGAAGCTAACAAAAACATCACAATTTGTTTGACAAGTATTGTTGTTTGACATATGTTTTTCTTCCACACCCTTCAGGTTTTTTAATTAAAAGATATACAAAGAAAACATCATGCAAAGAAATAAACACAAGACAAAGAAATACAATATGTTCAATTTCCAAAACAACTCAAGAGACAAAGTATGGTGTTGAATTGGAACAAATGCACACTATCTTTCTTTATCTCTACACTTGAATATGTATGAGCCATAAGTAGACCATCAAAAATGGATAGGAAAATTTAGTTTGTAAACCAGATACTTCATATGAGAACACGAACGGATTAAACATTAAAAAGAACTGGACCGACGAGTTATAAGTCAATCATGTAAGTGAACTCAATATCACGTCTTAATCCAAAATTTGAAAACATTAGATTAGTGAGTCTTTCTCCCTTATATGTTAACATATTCAACTCTTTCTAATGTAAGGTTCTCATTCACATTTGGATACCAACAACACATTCAAGTGAGGAGGAGAATGTCATATGGCTAAAGTTTTAAAAAATGTTCAGAGACCCAGCATTTGTCCGCAATTTCATGGTCACAACCACAATTTAAAACCTTAATTTCATGGTCGCAACCACAATTAAAAACCTTTGCATATGACAAATAGAATACCAGCTTCTTCTGGATTAGCAAGCTTTCAGATTAAGCCTTGTTCTTCTTTTCTTTAGCAAAAAATATACCAGTTATGGTCTCGGATTATATACCTAAGTGAGGCTTTGGGTGTTCAGTGTTCAAAGCCAATTGTTGCTCATGCGCGTTGGAGCGTCATTTTGCCGGCCTTGTAGTTTAGGAAGCAACTTCATTGAAAGTAACGTAAATTTAAAATTATGATGGAAGAAGCGGTTGTTTTTTTACCTTATAACTACGAGAGTCTAGAGTGAAGCACCTTTGACGGACCTTTTGTTAGAAGTTTTGTAATCTAGTGTTAAGGCCATTGGTGTGAGAAATTGTGAGTGATCCATCATATCTGCCAGATAAGATACCATCTGGGTGATTCGGAGAGTTGCTTGGTGACTCCAATGAGGTATCATCTGTTAAACTTTTAAAGGTACAATCGTAATTAAGAAGAACAAATATATTAAGCACACAACTCCTTGTTGAGAAAATGAGAAAATTATTTATTTTAATCGGTATCAAAGTTCAATTTAAGAAACAACATATAAGTAATTGTCAACCATTGTACTCATATCGGCAGTGTAGTCTCCAAACAATGAGAGAAGAAAAACCTTCTCTGGTGATATTTGAAACATGAGAAAAATGTTGTATACACAAAACAAGGGGTGTATCTATGTACCATAATTACATCATATCATATAAACAACAACATAGCTTTTAAATAATAATTTAGCACAAAAATTACACTCTTCCAATTTGTACCCGATCAACTATAACACTCTTCAATCATTCAATTATATCCAATAAATTTAGTGTCCGGACAGGTTTATCTCTTCTACATTTTAGCTTGCTCCACTACTACGAGTTCCTGCAAAACACTGATTTTGTTTGATGAGTCATTGATAGACATCCTCGTCAGGCACTGATGACAACGTTGTTTACAGTGTGAGCATTGCCATCAAGAAGGTTTTCAAGTGACCTGGCTTTTCTGCTCCGAACTCTACCTGCCTCCTTCAACAACTCACCCAACCTTCTCTTCTCATCATCCACGTCAGGGTTTGCTGTCCCAAGCTTCTCCTCCCTCATGCTAACGACGTACTCCAGAAGTTGAATTGCATCATCCAACCTGAAATATAAGATCAAACCCCATGAGGAGAAAATGACTAACCATATCCTGGATAATCTAAAACTCTTATATGTTTGGATGCATAAAAAAGATATGAATGGTTGGAGAAAAAATATTTAACTACACTTTTGGTCCCTATAATTTCATAATTTTTACCTTTTAGTCTCTCTAATTAAAAATATTTTATTTTAGTCCTATATATACCTCCCTTTTAGTCTCTGTTGTCTATTTCTGTAAGAACTAGAAGGTAAAATTTCTAAAGTTATAGGGATTAAAAAGTAAAATATATGATATTATAGAAAAACTAAAAAGAAATAAAAAACAGAATGTATAGAAACTAAAATGGACTATTTCTAATTATAGGAACTAAAAGGTAAAATTCATGAAATTATATGGACCGACAAGGTAATTAAACCAAAAAAAAAAAAATACAGGAAAAGAAAACACAAAATTTACTTTAAAAAACAAAAATTTGATAGTCTTTCTTTTCGCTTTCTCTTCTATTAATATTTCAAAATTTTCTCTCTCCCCTCACTAATGTTACAAAGAAGCAAAAGATTCCATGTCTGGTTATTAAAATAAATCTCCCCAGTCATTCATTGATGACGGCTTTCTACCAAATCAATAGCTACAAAGGTTTCAGAAGGTAAATCAGATGCATCATTCTCTTAAATTCTTGATGTGTCTTTGTTCAAGTAGTTGATCAATAGCAATAAATCTTTTAACCCGACAAAAGCCCAATGGGAAAGTAAATGCAATCTAAAACCTAATGAGCCAACACCTCACTATGAATGCCACAATGAAAATCAATCATTGTATTCACGTTAGTTGCATGACTTGATCAATTATATCCATACGAGTGACATGACTAGATTAGGCGGACTATTTATATGTAACAAAACTTGCACTTTTAACCTTCTGGTTATAATGAAACAGTAAATTTGAAAGTGATGCACAAGTTCTAATAGTGAAAAGATATCTGCAAATAGAAAAAGGAAAGACCGACAAAGAAAAACAAAAGGTGGATACCTGCCAATTGCATCATACGTGCCAGCAAGATTACTATACACCCCAAGTGTTTCTGGGTGATACGGTCCATACTCATGTTCCAAAATAATCTTTGCTTCTTCAAATAATTCTGTAGCCTCGTTTAAGGCATAACGCTGCACACAGGCAAGTCCCATTTGATTAAGAGCAATACCAAAGAAGGATGATTTCTTTTCTCCAATAGCACGAAGCTTTGAAATAGCATCCTTCAAAGTGTTGTAAGATTCGGAATAGTTCCCCAACATGTAGTACATGACTCCCATCTGAGCTTCAATTCCAGCTATTGTGCTTTGCTGACCAGGGGCATCATTATATATCTCCAGTGCCTTCTGCAGTAACTTGAGTGCCTGTTCAAGCTCATTCATTGACTCATAGATAGTTGAAATACTCGTAAAACCACTAGCAATCTCCTCTGGAGGAACTCCACTCATAGGATTCTCATATATTTTGAGCGCACTCTCGCAATACGATTTTGATTCCCTTATCTTCCCTGTCCTATTATACAAGTCTGCCAAACGTACAAAGACTAATCCCACTGTTGGATGATTCTCTCCTTTGCTGTTCTTGAAAACGGTTAGCGCTTTCTGATATGCAAAGACAGCCTCATCATATCGAGACAAGGATAAGTAAGTGTCTCCAATGCTGCAGTCAACAGCCGCCACTTCCGCTTCCTGGCCATTAGCTACCATTGCCATGCTGGCTAAAACAAGATGCTCAAGAGCTGCTTCGTGATTTCCCTTTGTCTCACATATAAGACCCATGAGCCTCCTATCAGCTACCTCTTCAAGAGATGGAGCTGAATTATTTTCTTTATGAATGTCAAGAGCCATTTGACATAGCCTCTCTGCTTCATCAAATTGCAAAGCTTGAACATTAGCTTCAGCCACATACCGACAAGTTTCACCAACTCTTGGGTCTGTCTCTCCCAAAACCTGCCTTTGGACTTCTAACCCAGTGGTGTAGCATGAAATTGAATTCTCAAGCTGTCCCAGCATGGCATAGGTATCTCCCAGTTGCATGTGACCGGCAAATTTAGCAAGGGCGTGCTGTTGACTTTCCTCAATAACAGGAATCTCAATTGATCGCTCAAGAATCGGAATTGCATCACCATATTGACCCAGGCTGCAATATATTGCTGCTATAACATGTAAACACATCACCAGCTCCAAACTTGGTTTCCCATTACCAAGCTTCTCAAACAGTTTCATTGCCTGAAGACCTAACTCAAGAGCCTTCTGCGGATTATCTCCTGATGAGATCAGATCTCTGGCTTGCTTTAGTAAAAACGGTGCCCGTTCAGGTCTCTCTAATGCTGACTGAGCCGTACTCTCAACTCGGTTTCGCGGCACTGACTTACCCACAGGAGAATTCTTCGTATTCTTCACTCTACTAACTCCACTAATCTGTTTCCTCAAAGGCTTACTACCATTCTTTCTCTGAATAGGAGCTTTCGGAAGAGGACTTTTTCCCTTGGTTGTCGATTTGGGCGAAGAAGCATCAGGTTCCACCTGAGAATTCGATGCTGCTGCTTTGGCAGATTTTTCTGAGGAATCAAAACCAGAACCAGAACTAGTAGCTGCAGGCTGAATCTCCTTAATCTCATCCACCTTATCCAACTTCTTATCATTGGATAAACCACCCAATCCAGAAGATATTTCACTACTTGAACTCCCTTCTGGCCCTTTCCCCTCCCCCACTTCCTCTTCCATTATCTCCACCTCCCTCATCCTTCCTCCAACTAGATGCCTCAACTCCGAATCAATTCTAGACTCATCACCATCGGATCCAAAGCTTTGCCTCGACGGCGACCGATCAGAACTCTGCATGTCACACACATTCTCATAAAGCTGTTCAATGGAGGGCTCAGCCACCCGATCACCCCCATGATCAGCACCACCACCTTGGCCTCTTTGCGGACTCGAAGAACCCCTCGGCGACCCAACCGGATTCAAGGCCTCCTTAGAGGAGGAATCAGGGTTCTCATTCGTCTCATCACCTCCCCCTTCATCATGAACCCCGTTCGTCGCAATTCCCGGCATCTTCAATTCCTTCATGAGCCAAAACTCCTGAAACAACCAATATCAAACACATGGTCCACATAATCAACACCACCCACAACCAGATCCAACAAAGATGAACCAATCCATACAAACAAACAAAAATTAAAAAACAAAACACGTGTCTAACCGTTTTATTATCCAAACAACGAATACACAAGAGTTACAAAGCCAACATCGTTAAAAACACACGCATCAAAAACCACAATCGGCAAGTGTCAAAATTCTTCCGCTATGGATCTCCCACAACTCGGTCAGAAACAGAAACACAGAAGCAACCGTATCACAAAAATAGAAACAATTTTCAGCAAAGTAAAAAAAAAAAAACCCGGATTAAACGGAGGCAGAAAAAACAACATATAATAATAAACAAGTAAATAAGACAGAGAAAATTACGGGGTTCTGTTTTTTATTTTTCATTTGGTATTTTCCTCCTCGTCGGATTCAGAGGCATAAAATTAAAAACTAACAGATTGGAATAATTAAAAAAAAAATGAAAAGGGAATTGACAGAGACCTTAAAAATGAGGCATGAGCGAAGAGAAACAGAGGAATTGTCGGTTGCAGAGAGACAGAGATGTGAATGCGTTTATATAGGGAAAGAACTCGAAGAAGAGAAACTTCACAGTTAACACTATACTCTTTTTCGTGAAGAATAAATGTGTTTGCCACTTGCCAGAGAGAGATGAAGAATGAATGAAACAGAGACTCAAGGGTAGGGGCAAGATGGGAATTCCACAATAATAATTAATTTGACGATAAAAAAATAAATAATAAAAAAAAAGTGTAAATGTTATGTCAGAAAAAAACAGCAGGGAAGCATATGAACGTGACTTTTCCCCCAACCACGCCGATCGTGTTTCTAAATTTCTCTTTGTCAACCCACCTGCGTTTGCCACGTGTCAACACTTCATTTTTTTCTTCAAAATATGTGCATAAGCGCCAAGACAAATGGCCTCTTTTTTTATTACTAGATATTTTGATAATAAAGGTTTGGTTTATTAGGTTATTAAATAGAAAGAAAAAAAAAAAAATAGTTATCTAGATTTGGTTGTGGTGTTGTTCCATCATTTTGTTTTATCTGCCAAGTAATCGGTGTGAGGAGTTTGCGGAGATTGTAAAACAGGTTAGTGAATAGTGAATAGTGAATATTGAGAGAGAGTGGCAGTCATAGTCACAAAATTACTTGCCTCCTTTGTAGACTCTTTGGTTACTAGTTGTCTATTGCTTCATTCCAAGGAAATACAAACACAAGTCAAAATAGTGACATAAATATCTAGAATGCATTTATGGAAAATGGTTACATGGGTGAAGGTATGCATAACATAAGCAGAGTCATGGGTTGTGGTGAGACATGTGAAGGGAATAACTACTAGACGTCCCCGCGTGCAGTTGCGGGACAATAACGTGTGCATTTTGTTGAAATTGGATGGGGAAAATTATATTCTAAGATCTCTCTATGTGCCTACTTTTACACTTGAAAACGATATCCTACTTTCTAATTCTTCTTTGCTTTCATAATTCAACATTATGATGCAATTATAGGCCATATGAGTTTAAACTTTACACCATACAAAAAGATTGTTTCATTAAGTACCAATGATTATTATAACCATAATAGAACAATGCAGATCCTCCATTGCTCAATTATTTATTCTTCTTACGTGAGTATGTTCCAAAATTTCGTCTAAATTGCCGCTCAATTTTTAAAATTTTACAAATTTTGTTACGGGTTGATTATGTGATGGAAAAATTATAACATATAATGTGCTACATAAAATTATCAAATTGACTCAACTTACAATAAGTTATTCAAAATATATATGTTTATTTGCTTAACTTATTTTTTTATGAGCCTATAAAAAAAGAGAAAATTTAAGTATTTTCTTAAATGTGGTTGATATTATTCTTCAATTAATTAAAGATTTATTTTGATTATATACGTAGATGTATATTAATAAAATATATATTAAATGTATGTACGTATTATCGTGATAAATATTTAACTTTAATTGAAAAATAATATTCATTACATCTAAAAAATTGTATCTAAATTTTTTTCTACAATAATTTATTTTGACCTAATCCATCATATGTAGTGACTGGGCAGACCTACATTCCAATGAGGGAGTGTAGATACAACCAATTATTAGTACATAATTAAAAATATTGTATTTTGTACCCTTGATTTTATACATTAAATTCACTAATAATTATTTTTTATATTTATTTATTTATTAATATATATGATGATAATTATTATTAATTTTGTTTTTGAAAAAATCTCCACTAACCTAGGTCTTGAATCTATCACCGACCGTAGGTTAATGTGTTAAATAAGTTGACCCTCTTAAAAGATGATTAAACTTAATAAAAGTAATTGAGTTTTTTACTCAAATAATACATTTTTAAAAATTTTTTTTACCTAAATAGCAACTGTGCAAATTTATTTCTTCAACTAGCACCATTTACTATTCACATTTTTTTTTAATTTTTTTTCGTTTTGGGCTCAGGTGATCTGTGAATTTTGCACTTGGAACGGCCCGTTCTGCAACAAGAACGGGCTATTCTGCATGCACTCTCGTGTATTTTTTTGCATCTGGAACGACCCGTTCTTAAACCAAAACGGGTCATTCTAGAGTTGCGTTTTATCTCATAACCTCAATGTTAGAACAGCCCGTTCTAAACTAGGGATTTTAGCCCTTTTTAGTAGTTTGGAACGAGTCGTTCTGCTTTTGAAACGGCCCGTTCTGGCTACTTCTATGCACTATGTCTTTTGAAACGGCCCGTTCTGCTTAATGTTTAGGATTTTTACTTTTAATGCACTATGTCACTTATAAACTATTATAATTATACATTATTTGGACATGTTTTCGTAGTGTGATGTGCAGGTTATCCAGATTTTTCATTATTAGTCACAGTTTGACTCGTACAAGTTTCGAATCTATTAAGATAAGGTCCCATTATTATCATCTCGTGTTTTCAAGTTTAAGACATTATAGCTTCATACTTCAAAGGTGTTTCCTTTAAATCTACCTTCAAACTTAGTATTGCAGCGAACATAATTTACCCTTTCAACACAAACACAACGTAGTCTCATAGATTAACATCAAGTAATTAAATTTATTGAATATTAACATTATAAATATATAACTAAATAAATTTATTAAAACTCATTACAACAATAAAATCAATGGTGGCAAGAATTAAATCCATGACCAATATTTGGACATATCTTCCTAGTGTGACTAAAGGTGTGACAATAGGAACAATTTTTTACATGATTATGTTGTTTTCTAATGTCCATCTCTGTTCTAATCCTACTGGACTTTGGCCGATCCTTGGAAGTCCTCTTGAGTTCTAGATTTGGCCACATAGTTGGACCAGCGTAAGTAGGCCAATAATCTTCATGTCAAAGCTCCGACATGAAGGACAGTTTGGAGAGCTCCGACATGAAGATTATTGGCCTACTTATACTAGTCCAACTATGTGGCCAAATCCAGAACTCAAGAGGACTTCCAAGGGTCGGCCAAAGTCCAGCAGGACTAGAACAGAGATGGATATTAGAGAACAACAAAATCGTGTAAAAAATTATTCCTATTGTCACACCTCTGGTTACACTAAGAAGACATGTTCAAATAATGTATAATCATAATAGTTTATAAGCGACATAGTACATTAAAAGTAAAAATCAAACATTAAAATTCATATTACATTGAAAAAAAAAACATAGGGCATAGAAATGGCAAGAACAGGTCGTTCCAAAAGCAGAAAAACTCGTTCCAAACTATTAAAAAAGGCTAAAATTCATAGTTTAGAACGGGTTGTTCCAACATTGAGGTTATGAGATAAAACTCAACTCTAGAATGATCGTTCTGGTTTAAGAACGGACCGTTCCAAATGCAAAAAAAAAAAAATACACGAGAGTGCATGTAGAACGGCCCGTTCTGGTTGCAGAACGGGCCGTTCCAGGTGCAAAATTCACATATCACCTGAGCCCAAAATGAAAAAAAAAATAATAAAAAAATGTGAACAGTGAATGATGCTAGTTGGGAAAATAAATTTGCACAGTTACTATCTGGGTAAATTTTTTCTTAAATGTATTATTTGAGTAAAAAACTCGATTTATAAGTTTATATCTTAAATTTCAACTTTGGTAACGTTGAAACAACAAAAAATTTATCAATTACACCAACTTAATTTATGATAAAAGTATAAAAAAAAAATAGTAGCATAAGATATACAAATAATATCAAATTAACATTGATTATCATAATTCATAACTTAAATATGTATAAAATTTAACCAATGTATAATTACATAAACTAACATTTAAAAAAACAAAATAAAAAATAAATTGATTCAACTCAAGTCACCACATGTTGACATATGATTATAGCCGAAAATGAGCCTAGTTCAGTCGAACTCGAATCAACTTAGCACGACTCAATAATATTTTGTTTGACTCAGATTCAACATAATTTTTTAATTCGAATTCCACTTGATTCATGTAACACCCCAGATTTCATAATTTATAATAATAATATTTTAAAATTATTTTGATATTTAATATAGTTATTTTAGAGTTTTAATATTATTCAATTGATTATATGGACTTTATTTTATTTATGAGACATGATTTATAATGATTATTTTGATTAGTGATATATAAGTAACTTTTATGAAATGTATTTTATTAATAATATGTTTGTATTTATTTTAATATTTTAATGTGTTTATTAGAATGATTTTTAATATTATTTAGTTAGTAGATATGAGTTATATTTTTATATAAATGTATGTTATTTTACTAGAAGGGAAAAATATATTTTATATTATTTATCTATTTTATGTGAACTCTATTTATTATAAAAATGATTTTTAATTAATATTTGGATTATTTGCTATAAGACTTTTTTATGAAAATTATGTTTTATCAAGAATTATGTTTTATGTTATTCATTAAAAAGAGGAAATATGTTTAATTATTTTATGATGAGAAGGGAAGGAGGGACGTAGTAGTCTTTTGCTAAATAGTATTATTATCATTATTATTTATTTTTATTATTTTTAAGAAAGGAGTTGTTGGGAGTTACTTTTCACGTTTCTTATTTCTCTTAACTAGTCTCTCATTTCTTTTCTACGCGCTCTGAAGACCCGAGAGAACTAGGAGGAGGAGATCACTAGGGAACCACACATACTTCATCTTCTGCTCATCCAGGTAAGGGGAAGTGAGAAACCTCACTCGGGGTGTTCCTTGATGATTACTGAGCATGAATGTATGTTTAATTTTGAATTTGGATATGTTTTGATA